TCCTACTGATTCAAGATTTCCACTCTCCAACAGAGACAAATATCGCTTTTTGTAAAGCGCAAATCATCTTTTGACTTAGTGACCAAAGGGGCAGACTGACTCCTGGTGTTAAACACTGGTAACTGCAGTGAGGTCATTGTTTCACATATCTGAGGCAGGATTTATGTTACATGGATTAGGAGACATTATTGTGCAATTATATTAGTTAATTTATTGTATTGACCTTTAGGCAGTCTACTGGTGCAATACTGGCTAAATCAGAAGAAATACCAAATAAATTGTCAATCCTACCTAAATGAACTATCAAAAATGAACAGCCATTTAAATTTTTGATAATCTGAAAATATTAAATAGCAATCTTATGGAAAATGTACACTTTTGAATAGTCAGTTTAAGTATAGTACAAACAAATATTTCCTTCCAATATTTTGTTTACTCTGCCTCAATGGGCAAATACCAGTTATATTAAAACTACATGTCTTTGGTTTCTAATGAGATCCAATATATAATTCAGGCCCAAACTTTTGTTTAATATGCAAATATGTCCTTAATTTAATTTTTTATAGGATATTGTAAAACAAAAAAAACAAAAAAAAGATTGTTCAATTTTGAATAAAATTTACTAAATGTAGTTAGAATTATTTTACAGCTATATTTGCAATCTGTAAAAACCCTGTTTAGGCTACATAATTTATTTCAGGCCAAATAAAGTTGTGGAAAAGATCGATCCAGTGTTTGTTTCTCCAGTGTAAAATTACTTTATGTTTTAACATCCTTTAGAGAAGAGATGTTCATTTCTATAACAAAATTATATTTATAAGTAGCCCTAATGGGAGAAATAACACAAATCTTCTTAGGAAACCAGGAATCTATAAAAAACGTACTTACACAAAGTTTATTTCATCTATACAGAACTAAACTGCATGTTCTTGAATAATAAATCCTAGTCATGGCCTTCAGTATTGTTTTGAAAAAAGAATTTCAGCACTGTTGCAGCCAAATATTGTTAGTATAACATAACATAACATAACATAACATAAAAAAAACCTAAATGTAAATATATATAGAGGGTTAGGGTTATACAGACTATAGAATATGTTATTATCCTTATAAAATACCTTTTTTAAATTACATTAAATTGATATTTAGTTAAAAGTTGAATAAATGATGGACGGACCAATGGAACAAAAATGCCATTCATGCAAACATAAATATGGAAGCAAATTAATAAAACAAACTTGAGTAGCTGACAATATAAATCATTTTATTACAATACTGGAATCAATACGAGTCTCAAAAATTCACATAGGGATTTTATTCACACCTCTCTGACCCAGTCTTAACACAAAAAAACTACAGCCCTTATTAAAATAGCATTTGTTTGATTTGACAGAAGAAGGGAAGAGAAAGCCAAAAGAGAAGTGAAGGAGGGATCTGGATGGAGGGATAGAGGTCTGTAGGGGGAGGAGTGATGGCATACTTCCAGCCTTATATAGGGTGTGTTTGTCTAGAAGGTCCAGCTGCTCCCCCAGAGAATGTCCAGGAATAGAAGGAGGTAGAAGATAGAAAGATCGGAAGAGAAGGAGAAGGAGAGAGAAAAAGAAAAATGATAAAAAAGAGATTTACTCTTGATTGTTCTTTCTTACTCTGCAAACCAAAATCGTCTCCCCTTCCACACCATTTTCTCTCACCCAACTACAGAAGGAGCTTTCTGGAAAATCTTAAGCCAGGCAGAGCATCAGCTGGCACTGTCAGTCAGGCACCAAACAGGCACTCAATGTAGGCGGTGACATAAGCTGGATGGCATTGAGGCTGAACTCACACTGTGGCCCTCGAGGGGAGGCAGGAATGATGACTGAGAGGGGTGAGAGGAGGTTAAGATGGAAAGAGGAGATGGTGTGGCTCAAAACACGGAGCGTAGTGGAAGGCTGATAACAGAGGAATTTTGACCTGAGTGGCAGGAGTAAGAGTGGAGAAAAGGTGTGGAGTTCGATGGAAATATTGGGACATAGGTGGAAAGAGAAAGGGAGGAAGAGAGGGACAGGAGAAAAGGAACTGAAGAGGATGATTAGGAAAGCAGGCGCATCATTAGAAGGGGAATGGCTCAAAATCTGCGATGAAAACCAAATTCTGACAGGAGGTGAACCACGCTGAAGTTGTTTTGTGATTGTCCTCTAATCACCAAACTGATTAGAGGAAGAGAATTCCTGCTCAAATAACACAGTATTTGTTTAAAATAATGCTTTTAATAAATTATTTAAAACATTATTTTGCTTTAGATGTACTTACAGACAGTACCAAAGGTGTATATTAGTTAAAACAAATTCAAACAAAGTACAAAATCTTTATACTTTTGTCATGCCATGAATCAAAGGTTATTATTGGAACCATGATGTCAGGTTAAGGGACCTATCCATAACCAAATATTGGCCTAATTTGTTGACAATACATAGTCATTAGGAACGGCTGTGGCTCAAAGGCAGAGCG